CATGTGTTATGATTTCTCTGGTACCAAAAAGAGTGCAAAAAATGTATAAACTAAGTATTTATGGAACGAACCAAGTAAATACTAGTATATTTATACTACATACTACTAAAGACTTATATGAGATCAACGAATTACAGGATTGAACCAGAACATCAGAAATTCCAGAACCAAAGTGGTATTGAGAAAGTAGTAGTAGATATTGGAGAACAGATCCTGGAGCTTCTTTCATGCCCTAATAAGAGAAGGCACTTGTGAGTCCTTGAGAGACACAGACTTGGCAGGATCAGGACTTTTCCTTCAGCCTCATAAATCACAAGCATTTGAAGCAGGAGAGAGATACCTACAATCTCTCTTTTTCTGCTTTTTCTCTTTTGTCTGCCCACTTCAGCTATCACACTATGCAAGTTTTGTCTCTCTTGCACAGCCCACCCCTTCCTTCTTCCCATGAACCAGGTTACCTAGTCCCATGGACCTTTCCTGGCTCCTGATCTTTCAGAACCTTTTGTGATCTCCTTTGTACAATCCTTTTGCTGTGAGGAATGAGTCTGTGTCTTGATCTTTCAGCTGCATTGATGCTTCATTTTTAAGAACTTTGCAATTGGCTTTGAGTAAGTACTTTATGACACTTTTGGTGCAATAAATGCACCAAAGAATAAATAAACGCACCAAGGTGGAATTCTCATTCTAGATCTTGCTTCTAATTCTGCTTGGGTTTTCTTTTGAATCAGTGTCATCCAGATGTGAGATCTGCTTTGATGGGTGATCTTCATCACTCAGCCATCAGTGCAGTTGCATGAAGAATTGGCCCTGTGTCTTTTTTTTCAACTGCTTTGATCCCTGGATATCTTGCTTCTAATTCTGCTTGGGTTTTCTTTTGAATCAGTGTCATCCAGATGTGAGATCTGCTTTGATGGGTGATCTTCATCACTCAGCCATCAGTGCAGTTGCATGAAGAATTGGCCCTGTGTCTTTTTTTTCAACTGCTTTGATCCCTGGATTTTTCCACAAGTAAGTACTTCATTGCTCTGTTGGGTCATCAAGCTAGTCCCTTCCTTCCAGATCCTGGCTGCAGTTGGGCTTGGATTTTCTCCTGAGACAATGTCATGACTATTTGAACTGTGGTCCGATGGGTGATCATCATCCCTCAGCCATCATTGCTGTTGCACAAAGGAGCACTCAGTCTCTGATGTATTTATTTGCTGGCATTTTATATGGTGAGAGCCTCTGCATTTTGCCACTGGGTGGGTTTTTGTCCCATCCTCCTTGCTACAGTGCTCACTGTGTGACTCAAGGCACAGAAGTAGACAGCTGAGTCTCTCAGCTCAACAGAACCCTTAATCAAATGAAAAGACTTCTCCACTTTGTCAAGGTGTGCTGAAAAATTC